TAAGTTGGAAATTTTAGTTAGTCTGCAAGCAGTCACGGGAGTCCAGAGGCAGCCTGTCAGTTTTTTGGAGAAAAGGAGGGCCTGCATTCTGTCTGGCCGGGCTACTTCTCTATTCAGTTGGTCACACTCCACGGAGCTGCCTGCCCGCCCACTGGGCAAGCCACACAGGGTGGAATGATGGGCCAGCTGTCCGGGGGTTGACGTTTCTGCCCCCAGGCTCTTTTTCTGGGGGGAGGTTGATTGATAATTTTATTATCTACACCATCTTTTCTTTTTACAGATTTTGAAAAGGAAAAGATTTTTTTTAACTCCTTAAACTTTTGTTCTCATTTCTGCTGTTGTTATGTTCTCAGCACCGTGGGGATTTCTGCACCTCTTCACAGTTCAGTACTTCCCTGTGTTTCTCTTTCCTCACCCCATTATCATGGCCCCTCCTCCCTTGCCTGCACAGATGAACCCAAAGCAACAAGCACAATTTCCTGTGCCTGCCCACAACTCATACAGCAGGCTGGCTGCTTGCTCCCCGACCCTTTCCCCCGCCCTCCCAGCTCTCACCCTTAAGACAAAATGACCTAAAACATTCAACATTCCCTTTTATAGTTCCTTTCAGAGTAAAGCAGAACAGCCCTTTTTGATCTGAGTTGGGAGCACTTGGTTGAGTTCCTAATTACAACTTTCAGAGAGTGATTCTTCAGGAAAGAAAACCCCAGGGCAATTCCAACTTGCTGCTGCATCTGCGGTCGTGGGGGTGCGGAGTAGAAGGTGCACAGTGGCTTGGAATTTCCATGGAATTTTTAATGCTTCAAGAGCAAACCACCCCATAAAGAAAAAAAGACCCAGAGAAGTTAATAAAGGTGCCAGAATCCAGATTTCCAGGCCCTTCTACTGCCTGCCACTCCACTTTAGTGGCATAAATAGACTCTCAACTACTAAATTTTGTACCTGAATTTCCTGTATGAAGCACTATATCACATGGAACACCTGTGCAATGCAGTGCGGCCCCACCTGGGTGGCACACGCGTGCCTATGCTCCAGGGCCTGCCTCCTGTGCAGGGGACCTGCCTGCTACTCCCTCTGCCTGGAAGACTTCTCTGTGGAGCTGGCTCCTTCCTGTCAGCTCGGCCCCTGCGCCCCCTGCCCATCTGACCTGAGACGGCCTTATCCTACTCACAGCCTACCACTTACCCTGTTAATGAGCAAACATATTTATTTTGTCCTGTTTGTGTTTCATTATCAAAAACTATTACCTTTGCTTGTTTATCTCCTTACAATCTGCCCACCAGGACATACTCTTGGCGAGAGCAGGTACTTATATCTGATTTACCACTTTGTGCCTTAGAACAGTGACTTGTAGAGTAGGTAGTCGACACAAACACTGGTTTAAGGAGTAAGTGAACACAGAGTGGCATGATTTTCCCACTCCACATTCTTTGAGACAAAGTCTGATGTTAAATATTACCAGCAGTTTTCAAAATCAAAGGAGTTGTAGCAATTCTGTAAGTATAAACGAGTTCTTTAGAGAACGTCTTTCCTACATGAAGTCTCTAGTTAAAAACAAATAGCAGCCCTCCCTGGTGGCACAACAGGTTAGGACGTAGCACTGCAAGCTGGCTGCAACCACTTCAGTGTGAGTTCGATCCCTGGCCCCAGAGGTGATCCACATGGTGCGGCAGACCTCTCCTGACCCGCCCACTGCTCCCCTCAGCAGTGTACTTCATCGATCTGCCTGTTCTGCTCCCTACTCTGTCTCTGGTGAAGCCTCTCACTGCCCCTGCACCTCTGGCTTGTATAAATAAATCTTTAAAAAAACAAACAAACAAAAAACAAATACCACAATCTAGATGTCTGTCTGTCTGACACCACTGCATCCAAAGCAACCTGCCAACCCAAACGATACCTGTCTTATGGCAGCTGACAACCCAGCAGGCAGTTTTCATCGATGCTGCTTCTTTTAACCCAAGACAGTAGAGAAAGTGCAGGGGCTATATGCCTGATGAATTCTTTCCACTTTTAAAATACAAATAGGACAAAGTAAATATGTTCATGACTTTTAGTGCTTCCACTAGAGGTAAAAATCGGAATCCAGACATAATTGAGTAAGCTGTCTGTAAACTTCTAACCCCATGTTAGATCCATCAGCTCAAAAAGACTAAAACCAACCCTGCTAGGACACCCCACGTCACTGGAGCAAGAATGGCTCACCAAGCAAGAGGCAACCACGTACAGATGAGCACTGAGGAAGACCGACAGTGCTAAAACTGCCCTGGTACAAATTATGCCCAAGAGGAGAAGTCTCCCCAGAGACTCCCCTTAGGGGGGATTGTCACCGCTGTGTGATGTAGGAGGAGCTCTCCTGAACGAGAGTGAACAGCCCTCTACTTAATGCTGAGACCCGGTGTCTACTAGACAACGTTGCAATCTCTTGCACCCCTGGCCAAAAACTGTGAAAAGTAGCCTCGGACCCGTTGTCTTCTCTGTCCCATGATAAATAAATTCATTTAGCCACATACTCTAAAGTATAAACCCTCTGACTATATATGAAATGGGGGAAGTTATTCTCTCTTTAAGGTGGAACGGCATCAAATGAGCCCATGCAGAAAGTTAAGGTTGTCCTGCAATAATGAGGGCAGAAAAATAGAACCATTGTTTGTAATTCAGTGGTACAAGTGAAAAGTAACCGCAATTCCTGTTTCTTTAACCTCAAGTACCTATCATCTTCTAGGAACAAAGAGCTGCCATAAAGGATAAGACTCGGGTCTTATCCAGGGACCAGTCATGTCTACAAAATGTGCATGTAGTGCTTTGCAGCAACGGCAAGCTATGTGTTTGGTTCCACAATTCAGTTCATCCAAGACAGGTGTATACTTTTCATATACCAGGCATAGTATTAGGTGCAAGGAAGTGTAAATTACAGTTACGACCCTGCAGGAACTTAGAGGGAGACTGATATAAAAACAAAAAATAGACGTTCCCTGCTGGTGCAGTGGGTTAAAAGTGCAGCACTGCAAGCCAGCCTCAGCTACTTCACTGTGAGTTCGATCCCTGGCCCCAGAGGTGATTCAAATGGTGCAGCAGGTTTCTCCTGCCTTGCCCGCTGCTCTCCTCAGCAATGTACTTCATCAATCTGCTTGTTCTGCTCCCCACTCTCTCTCCAGTGAAGCCTCTCACTGCCCCTGCACCTCTGGCCTGTACCCCAGTTCTGTATGAATAAATAAATAAAAATCTTAAAAAAAAATAGACAAAAAAAGATTTGGTGGCTATTAGGAAAGTGAGAAACTATTGTAAATTGTATTGCTGGCAGTTTCCATTTCTCCCAACTCCACATTCCTGGAATACACATCATACAGGAGTTTGCCAAAGAAAGATGTTTTTTTCCTTTTGGGACTGGGGCCAATTAAACTGCACTAAATAAACAGCACCTAACAAATTTATGTAAACAGTATACTCAAAACACAACACTTCCACAAAGAGAAGGGCCTGTGTCAGTATAACAGAACCATTATTAGGCATCACACCTGTAAATGTGTGCATTACACAAGGGTTTTCAGGAGGAATAATAACATTTTTAAACAGCTGCATTGTCTGGATTTTTGGAGAAAAAAAATTAAGGCAATGCTTTCTTTTTTCCTCATTAACTTTCCCTGCACTAGAGGGGTATGAAAGCACCCCTAACCCTGTTCTCAGAGAACTGGTTCTTCTGGAACAATCATGCCCAGCAGATGTCAGTTGGTGGTATATCTTCACGTATTTTTTTTCAAGGTAAGGACTCATCATGATTTCATGAAAGTGTGGTGAACAGGTAAAGATTTTCAGAACCCAAAAACCTGAGTTTCAGACCCTGAATGTGCCGTGTTTCTTAATTAGTCTGCGCTTCCGTTTCCTCTGAATAATATGGTGTGATGGTGACCACCTGGTGTTACATCATGTAACATCATGCACGGGCCGTGTCTCACAGTTAGTGGCGCGTGTGAACATGACTGTGGTTATCTTTACCTTTCTTCTATTTCCTGGGCTTATTCAAAGTTAAAGTTCAGCATTACAGAACTAGATTCATTAAAGGTAGACAGGAAGAGATGTCTAATAAATCTAAAATAAAAACCCAAACTCCCCCTACAATTATCACCATCACATTTGGCCTAATCTGACTGTGTCTTTCTTCAGCCCATGGAAAATTTTTGTGTAGAACTACTAAAACTAGACTAAAATTATATGCTGACTTGTTCAGCAAGAAACCATCAGGAAAGGAAGTGATAACAAAAAAGTAAATTGAGAATGAGGGCCCACTGGGGTACCCCAAGGATAAAGTTCCATGAATTTGTATAATCATGTCAGTGTATTTAAAGGCACAGAACTGTACATTTAAGAATGATTCACATCAGGGGCCTTCCTGCTGGAGCAAGGGATTAAAGTGCAGTACTATGAAGCTATCCACAGCCTTTGCTGCATGAGTTTTATTCCTGGCCAGGGAGGTGACCCATGTGGAAGGCAGGCCACTCCTATGCCTTCCACTGCTCCCCTCAGCAGTGTATTTCAGTAGATCTGCCTCTTCTGCTTCCCACTCTGTCTCTGGTGAATCCTCTCACCTCCACCCTCCCCCATACACATTTGGCTTATACCCTATTTCTTGTATGCATAAATAAATAAATCTTAAAAAAAAAAAAGAACTTTTAGCTTGGTTCACTTTGTACCCTATGACACAAAATGTGTCAGTACCTCAGCCCGAAATATTTGTGAAATATTTGAATAAAAATACTGAAAATAGTCCTAATGATAGGATCTGTATTCCTTTTTCTAGTTTCTACTTTAATCAATACTGAAGCCTAAGGAATGTAAGAAGATAATATAAATATTGCTTACAAGAAACATGCATTGATGCTTATAGAATCAGCTTGATTCCTGTCCCAAGCACGTTAGTACACCATCTTTCATGTACTTTCCTAAACAGTATTACCGTATGTTTTCTAGACAGGAGAAAATGTATGTAACATTTTTAAACTCACCTGTTAGGTTAGTCTTGTAATTTCCTGGAAGTATGTTATCCTTTGTGACTGGAGAGCCTATAAAAATAAAGAAACACCTTTGATGAAAGAATACTTAACATTTAGAGGAACACTAGCAATGCTTCTTTCTATCCTGGTATGGTTGTGTTGGGGGGAACTTATTCCACAAGTTCTACTTTGTCCACAACCTAAGCACTTCTTAGGTGCCAGCCATGCAAGAGCAGAACATCTTGCAAAGTTCAAACCCCCACACCAGGACACAGTGATGGGTGAGAGATACCCCAACTTCTGTTCCTAACAACTCCATTTTCCTGAGTAGGACTGGCTGTCCTTCGTGTTCATGGCCACTTCAAGTTCTCATACAACCAAAACCCTAACTTCATAAGATGGAGAGAAGATGAAGTGGGCAGCATTTTCATTTTTCCTAAGTCAGGAAGCTTCTTTGGCTATTTGAAAGCATTTTCACTTTTTAAAAAAAGATTTATTTATTTATGCATACAGAAGTGGGATACAAGCCAGAGGTGCAGGGGCAGTGAGAGGATTCACCAGACAGAGAGGGGAGCAGAATAGGCAGATCAATGAAATACACTGCTGAGAGGAACAGCAGGTTGGTCATGAGAGGTCTGCCGCGCCATGTGGGTCACCTCCTGGGTAGGGGATCGAACTCGCACTGAAGTGGCTGAGGCCAGCTTGCAGTGCTGCGTCCTAGCCCGTTGTGCCACCAGTGAGGGCCCATGATATCTTTTAAATTTGAACTACTACCTTAAGACTTGGGGACAAAAAGTTTAGAAGGATTTTATGCCACAGTTAGAGTGGTTTATTCACCTTGAGGGTCTTAAATGGAAGATTAAATATATACCCCACATGAGAAGACAGCAAGCATATTACTGGGATCTTCTTCTAAAGATAATCACCCCCCCAAAAAAAAATTCTTGAAGAAAACCAAGCAATAACTTCAAAGAATCTATCTTTACTATGTGTACAAATTTCTTCCTCCTGATGGAACGAACAATAATCCACTGATTTCAGAAGATCAAGGGCAGTAAACAACACAGGTGTATGTAACAGCAGGTTCAAATAATTGCCAATATTAGGAAGTGCTTCCTGCATGCCACGCCTGGTGACGGCATGTAAATTGCTTTAGCTAACAGAACCCTCCCAACAATTGTGACACAAGATTAATGTTTTGCATTGGCAGGAACTGAGAAGGCTACCCAGCAGCCGTCGGGTTTGGAACAGGCCATTGAAACCCTGCATGTATGAGTGCCAACACAGAACTGCTAGTCTTCTATGGGCTTCTCCCCTAGTGTTCATAGCTGCTGTATTTCTAGTTCTTCAACCCCAAATCCAAGAGGTCATCTTTCAATTCCCTTTCTTCCTCACTTCACTCATTAACAAGTGATTTCAATGTTGCCCTCACAGTAGAACTAAAATCCACTCACTTCTCTCTGTCACGGCCTGCCATCCTGCAGCCATGTGCTGACCTGTACAATCGGTGCTGTCACCAAAAGCTCTCTCATCTGCACTGACACCTGCCATTACTTTTTGCTGGGACTACTATTAAGAGCATCCTGTTGCTTTTGTCTCCCTGTTCTTGACTTTAATGAGAGATGATTTCTTGAGTTTCTTTTCTTTTTCTTTTTTTTTTTTTTTGGTGGGGGAAGGTGTGGTGCTTGAGAAGCAGATGACCTTTCTAGTTCTTTTAATGCTACTGAGCTAAGACCTTCCCTCCTTTCAGTAGCTATTTATAAAGCACCTACTGTGTGTAGGCACTATTTTTTTGTATCCTTAGAAGTAAAGAATAATGAGCAGTCTACATACAGATGTTTCATACTAAACTTGACAGGAGAACCAAATATTGAAACAGAATAATGCACTGAATGAGCATAATTCCACTAAATTTATAAAGTGGAACAGATGTGCTAAAGATTAATTTCAACCAATACTTTACGACTCATGGTCTTTTAAAGCCTAGACCAGTTTAGAAAGTCCCTGTTATTTGGAGTTCCCCACAGGCTGAGGACACTTGCCTAAGATATGATTAGAGAAACAATGAATGTTGTGGTTTTTTTTCTCAAACCCACATGACAGCTATTTTATTACTCACTGTTTGACCACTCTGTTTATTATTTAACGTCTCACCAGAGGTTAGTGTTAATTGGAAAACTTGGAATGTACCACAATAGAAGAGCTTTGATTTCATGAACTAGCATCCACTTACCCGGATTATGTCACCTTGAAATAGAGTAAAAGATGGTTCTATAAAGACTTTAAAGGATGTAAACAAGAGTAGGATGTGACCATCTCCTGTCAACCTGCGTGAGCCGTTGAATCCAGCATTTCTGCAGCCATCTTGTCCCTTGGATTTTTGGTTATAGGACAGGCATAGCCCCTTTTCTCCCCCTAGGTCATCCACGGTGGCTTTCTGCCACTTGCGACCCCGAGTGCTGCCTAATAACCTCTCTCTGCCCTCTGCCATCCTTTGTGTATTTCACTCCCTACACGGCCTATCCTGTTTGCTGCTCCACTCACCTGCTCATAGAGCACCCTCATCTAACTGCAGGTGCTGAGGGAACGATGAGCAGGTGAAGGGCATTTTACTTTATTTATTTTTTTAAAGAAGGGCATTTTAAAAGAAGAATTTCAATCATGTTTTTATCTCCTCCCACAGTATGTGGGCAATGGCAGTACTGTGGATCAGAACATTACTAACTTGAGTTTATCTCTCTCCCTGGCCATCCCAACTGTTCCTGACTGGGGCCCACCCCATACCTAAGGCAGGAAGATGGTGGCTGCAACGATGAAAAAGTCTTTGTTTTTCAGTCAATCAACTCTAGCTCCAGCTTGATATGAAAAGTGGAAAGTACATGCTAAGAATGGTCAGGCAAGGCAAAATGGTCATCCTCACCAACAGCTGCCCCGCCTTGAGCACCAGCCCATGTCGGCTAAAATGGGCGTGCGCCGCTGTAGGGGCGTGGAAAAGCCCAGAGTGTGCACAAGGCCATCACTGATCCTGGTGACTCTGGTATCACTAGCAGCATGCCAGAAGAGACTGTGAAAGGCAAATCATGCCAAACTTCTCCATTAGTAGAATTGGCCAGAGCTTATCAAAAATTATTTATTTGAAAAGCCATTATGGGTTAGCAGCAAAGCAACTAATTGAGAGTGTGAATTCTGGTCTCTAAAATCAAACATGTCCTGTTGTTTCACTTTGAAAAGATTAGAAAATACCTAAGCCTTGTGTTTAAAATGGGGATAATATGAGGTCATCCAATGTGATGACTGTATGGACCTCAATTTGTATTCTGTGAGGAACACAGGGCAAGTGTGTATAACAACTAGCTATTTAAGCTCTGCTGTGATTGTTAAAAGCCACCACACCCCCCAAAAGCACTTTCTAAATATTATATACCACATGGAGGCTAACACTTCCTTGCTTTTTGCTAAATCCTTTATAGAACCATCTTTTACTCTATTTCAAGGTGACGTTATAATCCGCATAAGTGGATGCTCTTCCATTGTGGTACATTCCAAGATTTCTAATTAACACTAACCTCTAGTGAGACATTAAATAATAAACAGAATGGTCAAGCAGCGGGTAATAAAATAGCACACAAAAAAGGTGTCATGTGGATTTAAGAAAGAACCACAACATTCATTGTTTTTCTAATCAGTAATCCATTAGAGAACCAATAAAAAGGTTTGTTTTTACAAAGTAACATAAAAAAAATGGAGGGCCCCAACAATATTGTTATAAAATTAGTACCAAGATACAGTTTCAGTTTAGAGTGTTCATTTTCACAATAAAACATCAAATACTGAAAATACGATGGGTATGATTTTACTGATCACTTCAAAAAATTCAGCCAAACAAACAAAACTTGTTATTGTCTGATTCACCCCGATGATTCTAGCAAAAGCATGTGTACCTCAACAGCCTGGTATGCAAAGTCTGTCTTTCTCTTTTGCTGGGTTAATAAACCAGGTTATTTAAAGGATACAAACATGGCATTTTAATGAAAAGCTTGGGTCGCTTTAAACCAACTTCCCTAGTTTACTTATCATTACTCAGTGGTTCAGCTTCTGCAACAGTTGACAAAGAAAAAGAAGCAATGCACACAGAAAAATTCAAAAAGTTCCCAAAGGACCGAACAAGGGCCTAAAAAGGCCCCAGCCAAGAGAAATGTCACAGCATTCTGCTAAGAACGTGCTGGTGACTTGGTACACTGCTAACCGCCATCGTGCGGCTGGGCTGTGACCGTTCAGGCTGTAGAGCAGGCAGCACCGCCAGATGTTCCTGGTTCCCCGCATGGGCAGCGCCCCCCAGGGGGGTTCCAGAAGCTTCACCTGCCCTGGGGGCGGGGTCAAAGCGCGCTCCCTCACAGCTCCCCACCGGCTGCATCAGAGCGGGTTTTAACTTCAAGCGACTTAGGTCCTTAAACTAAATCATTCGGATGCTATTACACAGGCAGACGATGGAACGCCCGGGAGACCCTGTGCGGTTCCTCTCCCACTGATCGACACGCAGGAACTGGTAGACGTGTTTTCCGAACCGCCTAATGTGGTTTCGAACAAACCGAATCTTAGGCCAGTTCTAACCTCCCAGGAAACCTTTGCTGCAGAGAGAAAGGCTGCACGCTAGTTTGCGCCCTCCGCGGAGGCCCGCTCTCCCCGCTACTCAACAGGTTACCCGCGCAACTTCCAGAAAAGCCGAAGGGCAGGACCGGGCAATTTCCGCTGCAAGCTGCCCAGAGCCAGGTGGGAGACTAGCCCGAGCCTCGGTTTACCCCCATCCCAACCCGTCACCTCGGGGTCTGCTCAGGCCTGTTGGGTCTAATAAGGCGTCGAAAACTTTCTGCACATCCAGATCTAAACTTGGAAAGTCCCGCTGGACAGCGCGCCTTCTGGGGAAGGGGGCTGTGGATTCCGGAGTCACTCACCCGCCGAGTCTCCAGTGTCCACAGCTAACTTGATCAGCGTCATCACCAGCAGTATCCCCAGGGCCACCATGGCCCAGGCACCCCGCGCGCCGAGCCCCATTGTTCCGAGGCAGGTCGAGGCGGCCTCGAGGGTTCCAAAGCGAGGTTGTGGCGCGATCGAGGGCGGCCAGTCTGTGCACGGACGCCGGCACCGCGTCCTTTCCCGCTGCGCGCGCCTCTCAGCCCGCCGCGC